TCCTTTTTGCCTTTAGAATATTTTTCATGCATCAGTAAAAATCTTTTCAGCAAAGTAGTAAAATAAAACATAATTATAAAATGGCAGGCAATTACTCTTGGAAGTATTTCTGTTTATCATCATTAGAATGTTACTAAGCATAAAGACAAATGTTATGTGAGTGTGCATTTGTCAGATAAGAATTCTGAACAAATAGTGTTCTTACAATTAGCGTAAGTACCCCAAAGGAATGTTAGTACATAAAATAAATCAGGGAAGAAAGCACAAAAAGAACAAAAGAATATAAATGTCATTAGACTCATACATAATCATTCCCTATATTTTTGTACCTATTTAAAAATGCAAACATAAAACCGATCTTTTTTCTCTGATATTTGTGCTTACTCTATATGAGATAACACATTTTAATGAGGTTGCATTGATTTATACTGTAAGTTTTATGTCACTTTGAGAAATATTTCAAAAAGTAATTCGACCATTTTAAATACTGTTAATTACCCACATAACACTACTAATATTATAAGTAAAGAATATTGAAATGAGATCAGAAATAAGTCCCTTACTGGGCTGGCCAATAGTAACACACATATGGGCCTTTCCTCTTCATTACCATCCTTTCTCTGTCCATCAATTTGGAATAAAGGAATATTTTCCACTCTTTCCGTTTTCAATTTAGAGAATTTATTTGGCCATTCTACTGATTGATACTTACCTCCTTTATTCATTGAATACAAATACATTTTTGGTTTCTCCTTTTTAGCAGATTTCTATATTTGAGATTTAGCTTTTATTTGGCATCACAGATTCAAACTATACTACTATTCTATGAATTTCATTTATTTTTTTCATTTATATGCTATGAAATCTCACCAGTATGTGCTTGGTGTTCCAAGTTGCTTTGCATGGTTTTAATGGAAAATAACTTTATTAAACTATTTTATCTCATAAATAACCTAGGACACAGAACTAGGCTTAGCAACTTAAATGCTATGTTACTAAACCAAGAAATACATTTCCACATTCAAAATGTAACTGTCACAATGCTCAGAGCCAGTGCAAAGGTCTGCAAGCTCTGGTGACTATTTAAATCATACATTTAAGGCCCAAAGGAAAATAGCTTTTATCAAAAAGAATTTCTTGAAAAGCACCTTCTCGGTGTTTTTCTTAATAAATAAAACATCATTTATTTGGAGCTGACAATGGAAGCTGACTCATTTCATTGTGCCTAACCACTATGGCAAGATTAGGTCTAATTTTGTATGTGGGAAAGTGGGTCATATGATAAAGGCAAATTAATTATATATTTTTCAAATGTTGTACAAAGAATAATGTATCGGAGTGTCATGAAAGTCCTTTAAAATGAATTTTGCACTTTAATTTTTAACTGATTTATTTTTATAGAGACTATATCAACAACATAGATTTAAGAACAGTGATTTTTATTAAATTTTCAATAAGATAATTGATATTATAAATGTTTTGAAAAACCTTATTTGTAAAATAAGTACAAATATAAATAAGTACTTAAACACTGAATTATGATACAAAGAGCATGCTTATCTCAGAAAGCTGCAATAATTGACAATGCTTTTACAGTGTAGCAGGAACATGTAAGAGCCCAATGAGTAAGGAAAGAGAGGCGAACAGTGAAATGTAATGGAAAGTGTCTTTCAGTAGTCAGTCAATTCTCAAGCAGGAAGTAACCCCTATGTTTCAGTGCTGAAAAGGTAAAAACCTAACTAATGTTTATTCATGACAAAGAAGACAATGAGAAATACACAACTGTGAACACCTGGTTAACTCTTACTTTTGTAAGAGAAAGTGTATCTTCACACTCTAGAAAAATTGAATAAAAATCATTTTCAGAATGAGTTTAGCTCATTTACTATATTAATTTAGAAATATTTTGTCCATGAAATTTTTGAATCTAAATATACCTATTTAATATATTGAGAATATTAATAAGCTGACAGATTTTGGAAGGTTTTAAACATATGTCATTTAATGAAGTACATGCTTATAAATAAAATTAAGATTATTATTAAAGATCTTTTAACAGAGTAAAATCAACATTTCAGGAGAAAGGCAAGCCCATTGAAAAGATACCGAGACATTGTGACCAAAAGATTTTTACATGCTAGAGTCAGGACTGAAGTAGCAATCAGGCAAATTTACCTTTTTTTTCAATTGTTTTCAGGATGACATAAAAATGGTGTTTCAGGGAACAAATCCATCACATGCTTCAAACCACTGATGAGAAAAGAGGCCTTTCAAGAGAAAGAATCATGTCCTAAGACAGGCAATTGCAGAGGAACGCTTATTTATTGGATTTTTTTATAAATTTCTGCGAATGATATTAGATATTAATAAATTTGCTTACAACCTGCATTATTTTCTGCAAGAGAAGGAAAAGATGAAAATTCAAAAATTTTTTGAATGACATTTGTTAGCAGCAGCTTCAGGTATGTAGAATACCTTATGTGATACGCTACAGCTGTAGTTATCAAGGTTTGAATTTATTCCAAACAATTTCTTTGATTCATAGTCTAAGTTTTCCTGTGAACTTGGAAGAGGAATAAAATGTTATAAATGTAATATGTACCCACACCAGAGGCTGCAGTTCTGTGACTAAATTTACCATCATAAGATTTTTTGTATTCAACTTCACTACTCTCATGCCTGGTAATTTAAATCAATGTAGATAGGCTGATAAGGTAAGAAAAGAAGGGAGTGTGGTTAAGGATTCCTTAATGGTTGATGAAATGATCAAAATAACTGAATCCAGCCCAATTACACAAATTCCAGTAGGTCAGATGCCATAACTAGAAGCTATATTTCTTTATTCCTTCTGGTTTTTCTTTGGAGTGTCTATGCATTTAATTTGTTATTATTTTTTTAGTTTACTAGCACATTCATGTAATACAGAATGTTTTCATTTCCTGTTAGACATTGGTACATGTATATAACACATCTTAATTCATTTTTTGAACACTTTCTCTTCCTTCATTCCCTCATTTGTTCATTCTTCATTTCCTTGCTGTTTCTTGGTATACGTTTGCAACATATAATGTTTGTATTCCTTTTGTGGAGTTGGCACATGTTCATAACACATCCCATATTTTTTTCATCTCTCAATTCTTCTTTCCCTCCCCTTCTATCCATCTCATGATTCCTATTCCCTTTGAGAACTATTTCACTATTTCTTATCATCTTTTATTTTTATCTGGAAATATTAGAACAACACCTTCATACAAATGAATTTAGTAGATATCAACAGAGTATTATACACATCCTTTTCAGCAACAAATAAAACATTCCCTAAAATAGGCCACAAACTACCTAATAACTCACTGTTAAGTAAATATGGAAGAAAAGAAATTATACCATGCATATTATGAAATCTAACCCAATTAAGTTAGAAAGCAGTGACAAAACACAAGAATTATGTAAATCCATGGAAACTAAAGAATATACTCTTTACAAACAATGTGTTACAGAAGAACTCATAGAAGAAATAAGAGAATTTTTAGAATTAAATGATTATGTCAGTACAATATACCATAACTTACGAGGCAGAATGAACAAATTGTAACTAGGAGGTTTATAGCTGTGAATGCCTGTATCTCCAAAAACAAAGTGAGCCCAAATAAATAACCTAATGATGCCCCTCAAGATCCTAGAAAAATAGCAAGCTAAAGGGAAAACTACAAGGGGGCAATTATAAATGTCAGAGCAGAAATCAGGGAAATTGAGACCAAATTAATAATAATAATAATAAACCAATTCAAAGAACTAGTGAATTTAAGAGTTGATATTTTTGAAAGAATAAACAGAGGACATTTTTTTGTATGATGTAAAGGAAAAACGAAAGGTTTCTCAATTTATAACATAAAGAATGTCCTTATAAAACCATATAACCAACAGTCAAAATCAGGTAATTGGACTCTGCTATGTGTGGAATGAAGGAATGCTGCAAAACTTGGAAATCCACCCAGAAACAGAGAAATTCTTAAGAAAGAATCAGCTTCTTTAAGGTCTCAGCCCTTGGACTGTAGCTGAAGCAAGGCCCAATATAAATAAGATTTGACTTTCAATTTTTGTCTGGCGTGTTATCAGCTTGAAAGTCATTATGTCAACACAACACGAAAATGCTTGACAAACCGAAAATTGACATGTCCATTAGTGAACTAGGCCATGCACCAAATTGCTGATTCCAAAATTGAAAAAATAAAAGACAGATAGATTGAATTTCAACTTAGTGAAGCAGAATCTGTGAGTAGAAATCTTGCTGGGAATGGACAGGGTAGTGGGGAAGCCTTAATTACAATTAGTTAACGACAGGTTGAGTGTTCTTTTGAGTTTGAGAATTAAAATCTCTAGGGTATTCCAGTCACATTACAGACAAAAAACAGAATTTAAAAGTATTATAACTAGATTCATATGCCCAAAGTTTTGGAAATAACAGACTAGAATTTTAGCCAAATATGACTAATGCACTAAAAATTTTAATGCAAAAGGCAAGAGTAAGTTCTTAAAAGATAACTAGTTTATTGTGTCTCATTCTCACGGACTTTTGCATAGAGTATTTTTGTGTCTTATACACTGTGTGATGTTAAGTCCAGGAATCAGCCCTTGTAGTATGGCAAGAACATTGGTACTGTAATAGAGTTTTCAAAGTGTTTTAAGATTAGTTTTAGCTATATCACTTCCAGAAAAATCTCTAATACTAGGGATAGTCATCCTTAATCTTTTGATGATGAAGGCATAATGAATATTTTCTTAGAAATTTCTTCAGAATACTTGCTTACTTTACTTTAGAATGAAGTATTCCTTTTCTGTAACCTTTGATAATTGTTCCCATATCTATTTACATTTTGTCCTACATTTTCCTTCTTCATCGTCTTAGTCATCTTCTTTTCCCCCTCCTCCACTCCCTCCTCTTCCATCTCCTTCTCTTCCCCCTCCTCTTCCTCCTCCTTCTCCTTTTCCTTCTCCTTCTTTTATGTAAGATAGTTGATTTTGAGCCTGTGGAGAGCAACCTGGCCCCTGATATCTCCAAATTTACAATTTTATTTTTTTGACTTCAATTCTTACATGTACAAAGACAGCAGCGTAAGACATGGTTTTGCAGGAGGATCATCCTTCTTGTTCTAGATCAAGCAACTATTTCATATTGGGACAGAATTAATTTCCATTAGTTTAGCAAAAGCATATTTGTAATACCTTATTTTGAAATTGTTTCCCCTTGTCATTATGATACTACATCAATCCTATAAAATACCTTCGTTTTGGCTATGTATTATTACCTCCAACAGCCCTCACATGATATTCAGATGTATTGAATATTCTAAAATAATTACTTAGTGTTTTAAGACAGCCAGTGGAGTAATAGAGAAATATTGTAGCAGATGTCTCTGGTAATTTAGTTTCATTATGAAATGTCATATAAGGCTTTGACTTTTAAATACTACACAGGAATTAGAGATGAGTTTTTTTTTACTTTAATTTGCTATACTTAATAAGGAAAACATAAATTCATTTTTATTTGTGTATAACTATTATAATAAGTTACAAATATTTAAATGAAATTTCTATTATATATATAATTTAAAATTCAATCATTTGTTATATTTTATTTATCATATTTTTATCTGGAATCTATTACCATCTTGATTTTATAATAGGTCTCAGGCCTTTCCTATAATCATAGAACTCAAAATTGTGTAGGATATTTCATCAATTATTTTTATATTTAATAGATTTTTAAAACACTATTAATTTCTGAAAATTGCTCCTACATAAGGATGTCAGGACATTTTTATCATGTACTAAAAATGTAATTAGGTAAAAAAATTAACATAGGACCTATTTAATATATTGAGAAAAGTAGTCTATGATCAAGATGAATATGAAATCTAGTATAGAGAAATTTTCAGAAGCCTCGTTAGCATTAAATCAATACTCTTATGATAAAACAATTTTCATACTCTGTAGACATAGTTTTTATCTAAGAAAAGGCATAAAAACCCATGTATCTTTTATGGAATTCATCATACTCTGAAAACTTCCAAAACGATTTAAACTCTTATCTCTGTGGGCTTGTAAAGTAGAGAGGATTTTTCAAAACTCACCCAAACCAGTGCTGTGTTTTTTTTTTTTTTTACTTTGCTTGATTTATGCAAGTTTTTTGTATATTTCTAATCTTCTAAATTGAAAACTGTTACGTGAAATCCTGAATGAGCTCTTATTTGTTTGAGTGTGGAGAGTGTTTTCTATTAGCACATCTAGTTCAATATAAGCAGTATTCAAAATATGTTCTATTTTGATGTAGGATTCTTGATAGTATTCACATTTATGTTCAGCTTCATTACTGTGATACACACAACCCTATTAAATTTTAAATTTTCATTTTCTGAGTTTATTAAATCACTTGCCTATTCTGATAACCCCAGCTTCATTTGCTTATCTCTGTGAGTCAAGTGGTGCTTTGCTTGGTTTTGGCTTACTTCCTTATCCCAAACTAAATCCATCTGAGAGCCACAGATGAATGATTAAAAAATAAACATGGAACATATTTAGCAAATCATTTCTGTATTACAAATTCGAGGTAAGTAGAAAAGAAATATGAAAGCACATTTAGAGTTTTCATAAATAATGTAACAACATATTCCATTTATTTTTTTAAAAATCAGCTTTACTTTTTATAAATGTCAAAACACTGATTCATAATTCTATCATTTTAGTACTTACATTGGTTGTCATTTCTACTTAAAAATACGCTACATTTATTATTTGAAATATTTGTTTTCTATTTAATCAGATTATTTAAAAAAATTCAAGATGAAGACAGTATTTTTAAATCACTTCCTATGTTTAAATGTTGGTACAAAAACCATTTCCAACATAGAATACCATGATTTTAAACTTTGCTTTCATTTTTTGCAGTACTCTGAAAGATTCATAAATTTCTTACATTTGATTTGTTTCAAACACTTTTTAGCATACAATTTCCCTTAATGTGACTTCTGGAAGTTAGTAAAATATTCCTTGTTTATGTTTACAAGTGCACAAAGTTCTTCTTTGCACAACAGGATGCCCAAAGCTCACTTAAAACTTCTCTGTCCCAAATCTTGATTTGGCCATTTTGTTAAGGAGCTTACTGATCTTTAAATATGTCTTGCACTGGACATACACAGAAAACAAGGTTTTTCATTGAACTTATTATTTTCATTATGGTTACAAAACCAAACTAATATACTTAGTGTCACTTGTTTCAGTTTATTTCAATCACTCATTTCTATTTAATTTTGTAGAATATATAAACAATTTACCTGATTTAGACTCAAATTCATTAACAAGTTACCCTATGAGTATACATTTCTTTTTTATTAATCCAATAATTTCTGTCCAATTTTCTAAACTTCCATCAAAGATATTTCTCTGTTTCTTCCTTTCTATGTTTCTTATTTAGGCTTCAAGTGATAATTTAGACAGATAGATAAATGGGTAGAAGGACTTTATAGTCATTTCAATTTTATAGATGTAAGCTGAAGTGTGTATAAGAATAAATAAACCTCTGATTTCTAATACCTGGTTTCTTAAGATCTCAAGCTGACAGCATGTTAGATTTAAAATAGGATCTAATACCAGTGAGTGGTTTCCATTTAAAAGAAAGGAAAGAAAATTTTAGATATAGAAACACAGTGGAAAAGATCTTTTGAGTCATGCAGAAAGAGAGAGATTAGAGTTATGTTGTCATCTTCCATAGAATGCTGGGGAAGCTCAGAAAACTGGAAGATGCAAGAAAAGATTTCCCCAAGAATTTAGGTGCAGCCATACGTAGCCTGACAACAACTTTTAATCAAATTATGAGCTCCACAATATGAAATTTTCTCTTGTTTATACCCAAGGTTTTTAAACCCTGCTTTTTTTTTTTTTTTTTTTTTTTTTTTTGGTACTGGGAATCAAACTCATGACCTCACACTTTCCAGGCAGGCACTTATATTGCTGAGCTCAATCCACAGCCCTAAACTCTACTTTTGTTGTTTATAAAGTTAGATCAGCCCCAAGAAAATTAATTTTTATTAGTATCAATATATTAACTAACGCACATGTACACATATACACACCTATTTTGGAACAAAGACAGTAACTATATTATTTCTATTTGCTATATCCAGTAACAATGTTATTGATTTTGTTATATATTAAAAATATAGAATTATCCTGAACTTCAACTTTTGTAAATAGATACAGAAAAATTACTTTTGAATCAAAAACATAGATTGTTAATGTCATGTTTTAAGACAGTTTGATAAAAATCATAAATCAGCAAACATAATTTTTGCAATATTGTAAATGAAATGTTGCCCAAATTTAGTCATAATTTACAGTTATGTTTTTATGAAAGAGATTAGACACTTGAGACCTACTTTCATTTATTTATTTCTGAAGTATATGTTGATACATTTTGGATGATTTTTACTGAATTATTAATCATTTATGTTTTAAATCTTACAAATATTATTTTTACTGGACTATATTTCTAAATTTTCTTTTCCCTTAGTGTGTTATTTTGTCATATTCTTTTTATTTTTAAAGGAAGAAATTGTATGTCTTTTTTTCCTTATTGTCATGAGTTTTGTGTAATGTTTAGAATGATGCTTATTACTTCGGGTTAACCACTTAAAAGACCAATTATTTAAATACAAGATAATCAAATATTGCAATTTTTTCATTAACTTCTATAAAACAATGTAATAGGAAATATAAAAATGAAAAACTTATAAATTTATTCAAAAATTAATTGACCAGCTGAGTGTAGTGGTGTTTGCCTGGAATCCCAGTTCTCTGGAGACTGAAGTAGGAGTATTACTGTGAGTTCAAGACCATCCTGGGCTACAATTTGAATTTAAGACCAGCCGGAACTACACAGTGAGAACCTGTCCCAAAAAGACAATAAATAAATAAATAAATAAATAATCAATTAGTTTAAATGACACCTGCCTGAGCTGTGCTCCAGGCAGTCAATATATAAAGGAAAGGCATGTACTGAGAGATGTTGGGAGTAAACTGTTAAGGAGTTTAAACAACAACAACAACAACAAATCCTTTTCTTTCCTTTGCAAATTTTTTTTTTAATTGTGTAGACTCTGGATTATTTTGTGTTTCATGATAGGGAGGGGGGACCTTGTACACTAACATAGACATTGTTCATAAGCCAATGCCTGTTTTAAAGTAGATCTAATATGTTAATCTGTCAACTTTGCAAGGAAAACAATCTTTTCTAAGTCTTGTAAGTATGCTTATAAAAAGTGTTTAAATTTCAAGTGAATCATTTACAGTTGTGAAGAAGGAGAAACTTGCAGAAACTTTGGAAGATGAAAAGGTACATGTATCTACTCTTAAATGGTTGTGATGGCAGACAGAGGAGCCTCACAGGGTGCCCTATAGTGGCACAGGGAGACTTGATCGCATTCCAGTTCTTTGTCATGGTCTATGTGGTCAGTCACTTTTGCCCTACTTGTTCCTGCTACCCCCTTCTCTCTGGCTTCTCAATCTGCACAAAGATTTCCTCCTTGTTTTCCTCTGGATTTAGTTGTTTTATTTCCACATATGTCTGTTGGTTTAGTGAGTTGATTCTGATGAAAGCCATTTATTTCTACAACACAAATGAAATACAATAGTATTCATAGAATAGTGGATAAATGATTTCTAAAATCTTTTAGGAAGTAAGGTATTTTGATATTCTATATCACATTTTTATTGAGATTCAGATTTTCTTATCTATCCATGGTGTTTTTTAAAGAATTTTTTGAATTAACTTGAATAGTTTTAGGAGGAAATAATTTGAGATTTTGATTTAATTCAAAAACTATTTTAAGAAAAGATACATATTTTTGTGTTAGATGTGATATAAATTTTCAGCTATTAAAGTTTGTTTTCCAATCCTTTATCTGTGTCAGTGATGATGACTTTGTATTTCTTTATGTTCTTTATTGCTAAACTTTTAACTTTCTTTTTTTTTTTTTTTGGATTGGAATTTCTATTATAGTCTATAACAAAATTTTTCATATACTGTTGAAAACTCATACGATTCTATAATATGATATAATGAATCTCTTGAGGTAATTAAT